GGGGGGGGTGGCTGAATGGAGAGTTGAAGCAAACAGATCGCTCCTTTCGAGGAGATGAATTTTGCGAGGAAGTAGAAAAATTTAGAATATGCGTGAGTGAGTTGCTTTGCGCGTCTCAGACATCCCTTGCCACGTCACGCCGATGCTGTGACCCTAAATCACAAAAGTGGTTTAATCTAACGAAAGAATTGCCAAGACTACACATGCAGAGAAGGAGGCTGTTTCATACCTAGGTAGTTAGCCGGGAATATGAGAAACCGGGAACCTTTTCAGCTCGTAACTTGGCTGTGATGTGTCTCAGTTACTACATTCCTGGGGAGATTACGAGGTTTGAGATTACGCGGTATGGTAGGAAAGCAACTCATTCCAAACAGTTAACAGCGTCGTGGTCTCTTATTGTGATTCATTTTAAGGTTATGCTTCCGGGAGTTCCTACGAAACATGATGTCGAGATGTGTTTTCTCAGCGAATGTCTGCGTGCGTCTCAGGTCGAGGGCTAATGATGAATGGCAGAATAAGGATGCGAGGGCTTGTAAACAAGGCATTTCTCGTGGGTTTCAGCACCGATAGGAACGGTTAAGGTGAAGAGTGTCTCTCTCTTGTCTTTTGCAGGCTCAGACTTGAACTTCCCAGTGGTTCAGGTGCAGACCATCCAGTTGTACCTTCCTTCAGACCACACATATTGCCTCGTGTTGTTCTGTCCTTCCTGTCTTTTACCAGCTATAGGTACTCGAACTGCCATTCTTTTATCTTCCAGTGTTGAGCAGCCACTTCCTCCCTTGTTTCGAATTCCCTCTTCACCTTTATATCCATCACTTCTTCCTCTTTCTTTTCCTCTTTTTTCTTGTCTCCATTCACTCTTCAACCTTGTCTAATTTCATTAGCTTTCCTAAGACTATTCACTCCTTCTTCTTGTTCTTTTTTTTATCTTCCAGACACTCTTTTATCTGATTCCCATTCGTCCTTCGACAGCGGGTTATTCAGTCCCGTCTTATACACTCATTTTCTCTCGAATCACCCACCTCATAACAACTATATTTGAGCTCTTTTTAGTAGCTCGTCCACTCTCTGATACTCCTTTTTAAAACACCTGACCTACGGACCGAAATATCTAGTATTATCAACATGAAGCGTTTCTTCACTTCGGCGGTGGCTATGGCGGCGGTTGTCGTTGCTGTCCCTGTTGGTAAGTACCCTCGCGGCGAGCGACAACTCCAAACTGACCGTAACTGTAGGCCGACCACTTATTAGACGAGAGCCGTACGCTACTCCCATATAGTTTCCAGAATACTGACTTACACCGTGGTAGGGTTACCACTATCACGCTTACTGCGGCTTCTACTTACACCCAAGTCGTCGCTCCAGCCACTCCGGCACCCATTATCCCAACTGGAACGGCGACCTTTCCAGGAACCCCTGTACCTGTGCCTGACGACCCGAAACCACCCAAGGGTAGTGGATCTAAACTTCCATGTGTCAATTGCAGCCCAAGCGTTTCTTCTGGCTCGGGCAGCTCTGGAAGTTCCGGAGGTTCAAGAGGCTCTAAATCCCCCGGCATTTCCTACGCTCCGTACCGTGGTGATCACCAGTGTAAGAGCGGAGATGAGATAAAGCAGGATATTTCCGAACTTGCGGGCACCTACTCCCTCCTCCGTATTTACGGCACCGAGTGCGACCAAGTTTCCAAGATCTACCCATGTGCCAAGGCCAACGGCATGAAGCTGTTCCTCGGTATTTGGGATATCAACGACGTCCAAAGCGAAGCACAGTTGATCATTGACGCTATCGGTAACGATTGGGATATTGTAGACACCATCAGCGTCGGAAACGAACTCGTTAATAACAACGCTGCAACTCCTGCACAGGTCCTCGCCGCGGTCGACGAAGCTCGTGCGATCCTGAAAGCCGCTGGATACAACGGCCCTGTCCTGACTGTTGATACGTTTGTGGCTGTCCAGGAGCACCCAGAACTTTGCGAAAAGAGCGAGTACTGTGCAATCAACGCCCATGCCTTCTTTGACCCCCACACATCTGCCGATGGTGCTGGAAAGTGGCTTTCCGACACCGTCCAAGTCGTCAAGTCGAAGTTATCCAGCGACAAGCGCGTTGTGGTCTGTGAGACTGGCTGGCCCACAAAGGGTGATAGCAATGGTAAGGCTGTTCCTGGATTGACTCAACAGGGGTCAGCTCTTAAGGCCATCAGAGAAGCATTCTCCGAGCACCCTGATGACCTCATTCTTTTCTCTGCTTTCAACGACCACTGGAAGAAGCCAGAACCTGCAACCTTCCACGCTGAACAGTATTGGGGCATCGACGGCAAGGACTCGACTTCTGAGTAGAGTAGAGCTCGAAGATTTGTCGTGTCAGCTAAGCCTTCGTATCTTTGAACGGTTTGCAGCCCGCCTTTTGTTGTGAAACATCATTCGATTTGGTGTCTTTCTATATTGCTTTGTGTTATTGTTAATGTTTCGGGGCCACGGAAGCCGAGTACCTTGGGTTATAGCAGGACTATACATGTTTGGTACTTGGCAAGAGCATGTGGGAGGATTGTCTACTTCTTATGGGATTTCAACTGCCTGGTTATATCACCTGGCTGTCTTGTTTCAAGAGCTTGAAAAGACTTATGTCTAGTATTTGTATGAATTGAAACGTGTTTTTATTGTGATGCTAATCCTCTTAATGATTGGACTGTGTAGTTATTCTCGGCATTGCCTTGGAGCGAGTGGCAAAATGTATATCCGTACATGTATGAATTCGTTCAATTCTGGGGGTATACTGTTGTGGCTGCGCTCTTCACTTTTAAAGATTGATGGTGTACCGCCATAAAATAAACAAGTTTGCCCAAGGATGGAAAGCCGCCTACATAGCTGACCACACATATTGTTTATCCGTTCCTCATTAAACCCTCATGATGTATCAGTAATGCTGTAAACTAATCCACAGATAGCCGACCAACTATGTATGCTAGTCATTGTAACGATCCTTAACGTCGTTGTTTTTCGTGTTGCCTTTCACATGCCAGACCATGTCACGACTGTAACTGAATTGTTCGCAAAAGGAGTTTCGTGTCCATGCCAAAAATTAGCCAAACAAAGGAGAATGAGGCCCGTCGAGTGAAGATGGATAGGGACCGTCACTGGAAATTGAGATAAACCCCAGAAAGAGAATTCAGACACTGTGATGAATAAATACATCCAATGATTGAGTTTTGAACAAAAAGTAAAGAAATTTCAAAAGTCTCGCATGAACCAGCGATTCACAAGCCCTTGATCCACTGATATCTCATAAATGACAAAACCTGGTTTGTTCCATCCTTGTAGAGATGTGGTCAAATAGGCGCCTCGATCAAATTCCTGTCAAGCTGCTCGACATTTTTCAGAAGGAGCTGCGACAGGATGAGTTTAACAGATCCAGAGCTCATCAACAAACTGATCGAGTTCAATAATACGAAATCGAGAACCGATGGTGTTATCCTTGAGCAGTGCATTCCATGCGGACGAAAGACTTGCTTTCCAGGACACAACCTCAACGCTCCAGCCCATTTTCAGGGCGCGTTGGGCATACGCGAGAAAGCCATCCGAGTACTTGGCCGGCCGGGCATCCCCAGTGGCAATAACAAGTGTGCCGGGCATCTCAAAATACTGCATAACAGATTCGCCAATTCGGATTTGAAGTGTTTCGTCAACCATATCCTCGACATAGCGAAAACCGCCAGTCTCGAAGGTGGTGTGGTCGTTGGAACCAGACTGCTCAGCACGACGACTACGAAGGTCGACTCGATATCCAAGATCTTTCAGCTCTTGAATGAAAGGAGGCTCACCTCGATCGGGACGCATGGAACAGCCTACATTGAGCCATTCGGCGTGGCGATCACGGGTAAGAAGTTCGTGGAAAAAAGGGAGGTTCATTTGAGGAAGTGGTACGAAGCGCGAAGATTCGGGAATGCCAAATCTGGCTCTCAAGGCTTTTTGGAAGCCGATAACGATATTGGACATGTCAACGAAGACGTGAATTCCGTTGTCTGCAATAGTAGAAAAGTCGTTGCAGATTATGGAGTCGACGATACGCTCATGGACCAGTTTACCCATAAGACTTTCATGTTTGGCCGAGGCTGACGGCACATTACTGTGAATTTCAGAGACGGGACCGTATTTGAAAGGCTGATACGAGAGGACATGTTTAACCGATTCTGGCCGAACACCATCCCAAACCACCACTCTAGGTTTAGAATTACCCCTTGAATGAGACCTTTCTTTTGTCTTCACAAACTTGGCCTTGCTCTTCTTACTCTCAACAAAATGATTGAGAGGAGACTCATTGGAGCTTGGCGGCGTTGAAGCAGCGGTTGAATATGAAGCGACAGGCAAGACATCAGTGTCAGAGCCACCGCCGACCTCTGAATCGGTGATTGGGTCGAATATTGGTCCGGTCAAGGTGTTGGGGACATCAACCACTTTGATGATTGATACTGAATCGAGGGATGTCTTCAGTATCGAGACTGGCTGTGCCTTTGCGGAGGCAACTGGCAGCTGATACCGGGGCGTCCCATTATCTTGGAAGCGAAGTTGCTCAAAGAGTCTCTTGAAATTTCCAAGCACGGGGGGCGAGTCGGAGTTCTTGGTGGTCTTCGGAGAGGCCCAATCCGCAAGGCTTTGCGAATTCAAACGTGAAAAGTCGCCAAGCTTGACCAAGCCATCATGGCCGATATTTATGGCACCCGGCGGCTCGTAAAGAGGATCATCTGTTGAAGCTGTCGTTGTGGATGCCATAGTGACTATCGAAAGCGGTCGTGCACATGGAGGCGTATTTTATGTTGAGGGCAATACTGGTGATGTACTCACGTCTTGGATAGACGCGAGCTGGCCCGTGAAAGATACCCAGAAAATTGATAATGTTACTCGTAGGATAAAGCCCTGAAGGACTCAGATACTGCAAAAACGTAGTGGAAGGCAAGAAAGATATCGATAGGCTAATTTGCCACAGTCAAGCTGAGAGTAGGCCGAGATGCAAGAAGAGCAGAAGTTGGAGCTGGAACCACGAAATATAGTATGGACTAGTTAGAAGTCCACGGCAGAGTCCGAATTGGTTCTAAGCAAAGATGCAATGCGTCAGATTTTGCCGCTTGAGTGAAGCCAAAATCGATGATGCGCAGCTTTCGGGAAGATGGAGCTATCAAAAGTCTCACGATGCCAAAAAGAAGTGCAATTAATGACTGAATGAGCAAACAAAAATAACAGGAAGAAGGAGACGATAGTGATGATGAAATATATAAAGACAGAGATGAGAGAAAACCGGCGAGAAGAAGAATAAAAGGAAGAGGATACAAGACTACCTAAGACGTTGGGCGTTGATGTGATATAGAGGAAGTTCAAAGCTGGTGATGAGAGTGGAGATGGTGATGAGTCAATTTGGTGATGCGCTGGACGTGGACGGATGGACTGAACTGGCGGGGGGCACTGCTGATGCTCCCGGGATCTGATCCGATGTGGCGAGCTCTTGGCCAATCAAACTGTGCCAAACGTGGCCATTAAGGGTCTTGCACTTCGTGTAGGTAGATTGAAGATTTGCCACTCTCAACGTTGATTCAAGAAGTGATTGGTTCAGTAACTGTTCGATCTTGCAGAAGAATTGATTGATTGATTGATTAATCAACTGGACCTCCCTTACCCAGAATGTTTGCTATGGCGCGGCGATTTGTCAAATTTCTATCTCGACTTGCCATACCATGTGTGCCAAAGTTACTGCTCTTCCTTTCCACCCCACGGGGCAATATCGTCAAGAGGAACAATGCCAATATGCGGGAAACGTGGCCATAAACCCTGGCCATGCCCCAAATAAAAGAAACCTGTACCCCCAAGAACGCGCTGCGTAATCCATGTTCAGACCTTGTCGGTAATAGCGTCTGTATAAATGAGCATCAAGTCCGACCCAGTATCTCATCGTCTCTCTGTGACTGACAACTTGCTACGAGAAATCTTCCGGTTAAGACTATGCATCGAATCACATATTTGATATGTTGCGTTTTTATTATCGCCGGAAGTCAATGCTTGCTCGGTGTGAGTCGATGCTGGGCCGCACTGAGCTGCTTGAGCTTCGCCTTCGCCGCGCTCGTTCCTCGTTAGGGTCAGCAGGGTGTAGACCCGTTGACTTTGCAAACATGTTCAGAACATCGGTCAACGAGATGACACCAGTGAGTCTGCCCGACAGGCGAGCACCAGCCATGGCAGAGGCTGGTACAGCAGCGGTAGGGACTGGCGACGCAGGCACTGCAGCAGTAGGCACGGGTGATGGAGGTGCAGCATAAGTGGATGTCGATGCAGGCGCAGCCGGAGGTGGATGCGTTGGGGTCGTAAAAGATTGAGGCCCCATTAGGGGAGTAGCAGGAGCCGAAGGTGAGGGCGATGCCGACTCGACCACCCACATCCTGTGCGACCGAGTCGCAACAAGCTTGGCAACAGTATGAGCCAGCGTTGAGTAGGGGTTGACGTAGAATACAGGAAAAGCATCGCGTCCATGTTCGACTCCTCGTTCGTTTAGAATCACTGAAATGAAATTCATGCACGATGAGTTGAGCAAGTGAGCGTTGGAGCTCTTGGTCAAGTGCCGAACATCTTTGGTAGAGATATTGCCAACGACGTTCAGGCCGTTATCTACAACAGCCACACTTGTGAGGCCTTCATTGTGCATAAGTGTAAGGGCTTCTGACAATGGTGCATCAGAGCTATCGCCAGTTAGTATTGAGTTCCGTCCAGGGTGATGTTGCAACTCACTTGACAGAGACGATGTCCTTGGTACCTACACCTAAATCACGAAGCATGGCAGGATACAGCCGATCGATAGAGGGGAAATTGACACCCTCATTCCAGAAGAACTCGACAATTCGAAGTTGGCTTGCGATGCCAACAACTTCGCCACTAGTGGCTGTCACCAGGAGACGATGAATGCCACTGCCTAGAATCTGAATAGCTTGGGCGAGCTTCTCCTCGCTGGGCAGCGCAACAAGAGATTCCTTGCGAAATAAAGGAAAGACGTCTCGTAATGGAATCTGACCACCTTCCTGAGCTTTGGCCAAGATGGAATTGAAAAGTTCAACTTGATCGTCCTCTGGTTTGGCCAGACCGACGACAACAAGCAGATATACGTTAAGGTCGGTGTAGTCAAATGTGGAGACGGCGGTATGAGTAGAGGCATCCTCGCGCACCAAGACAACGTTTGTATGACTTTTAAGAAGTGCCTACAAAATCAGTGTTAGCATATCTGCCAGTTGTTAGGAAGTAATGTAATTGCTTTCGAAGTCTGCCCTTTTGACACGACTTTCACGAAGCTATAGGCTTACCTTTGTGGCTTCCTCGACGCTAGTGTCAAACTCGACCCATTTTATGTCGTCTGGAGACACAAGCTCTCCAACAGATACATCCCGCCAATCACGACCAGCAAATTTGGGGTTGGCGTGCTTGTTTCCGGCTGGAGGGTGGCTCAGAAGCTCCTGAAGAGCAGCCTGTGTGAAAGAAGGATGTCGCTGAGATCGTGGTGAGGACGGCGCATTTCGCAGGTTCTCAGCAAAGCTCTGGCGATGGGCGGAAATGGAGCTTGGCCCAGAACCTGCGGATATGGAAACAGAAGGAGATCGCTGGGAAAGAGTAGGCGGCTTTTGTGATGACGAGGAACCCGAGGCAGCACTGTTTAGACTAGTTGAACTGGTCGCGCGGGTGTCCTTGAGCTCGCGAGAGGAGCTGGGTGAGGGGTCCATGATTGGAGATTCGTTCACGAACAGCTGATGAATTGGACGATAAGAGGAAGCTTTCCAGATCGGTCTAAGCAGAGGCGAAGGTAAAGCGCGGCCTCGGTAGAGTATCTAAGGAGACCTTTGCCAAGTGAAAGCAGTAAATTGATTGTGAGATGGCAATAAAATGCTTTGTCGCAACAATTGACAGATGAGACGATGATTGTGGCACAGAGATGAACGACAGAGGGGAGGGCGCAGAACGGTTGGATGATCTGGATAAAAGTTGATAAGCAAGATTCATAAACTAAGTACTCGAGTGTCAAGATATAAAAAGTCGGGCGGACATTCGACAAGTGAACGAACAATATTTGAGAGATGGATAGATGAAGTAGAATGGTTTCCTGAGGCGAAGGTTGGTCTGGAGACAGGAGACAGGACGTACAGTCGCGAGGGGCACGAGGTTAGGTACATGGTGACGGGAGTGGGCGGGGGAAAGATGATGACATAGCACCTGGACTACTGTGGTAGTGGAGTGCCCCGCGATGCTGGGGACCTCAATATTCAGTGCTGGGTGTTATAGTCGGATGAGGGGCTAATGCATTTCCCATTATTGCGCGAGTGAATGTAGGATAGCAAACTACCTAATATATCAAGGTACATCTGATCTAAATTGAACGTAGCTTGATGGCCAGTTGATACTTATGAAATGTGTTTCTTCAACTGTTATTTCAAGCATTGATGAACACCATGAGGCACCTGACGACTCATTCCAACCCTGGTCCAAACATCTTTACAATGAATGACTCGACAGAGCTGATCATCGAAGCTTTAGTTATCTGCCAGGAGCTGCTCAACTTGACTACATACTACGAATGTAAGCAAGGAACTCCCCGGTTTCAATACCTGTGGTAAGTAACCAAGCTTGCGCCCATGGCTTGGTTTGGTTGCATTAAACAAGGCAGCGCAATGCAGATTGATCCTTTACTACTCCGTACTATTAGTTTTTATCGCATCTCGAGATGTGTGTCGTGCAAGATTTCTGTGAAGCATGGGCCCATTTCTCATGACGGTTGACTTACAACCATAGGCTCGAACGGTTTGGCTACTTGTTCAAGGGTCTCGACACTGGGAGCACCGAATATAGATGATAGACCAGTATTGCCTGTCTTCCGGTAGGCCTGTCTTCTGTACTCTGGGACTCGAGGAAGCGTTCTTGACCTCTAACATAGATTCACAATTTTCTTGACCATCGGGTAATCCCTAGCAGTCTGATATGATGGCTTCATTACAGATTGGCCAGGTATTTCATTATTATAGAGAAGTAAAAGCCAGTGAGATGGCTGAATGTCATTTCTCTCATGTCTTGTAAGCAGTTCGTTTGACAAAAAGATCAGGTGAGTATGGAACGAAGGACATTCTAGCGGTGTGGTGGGTCGCAGATTTAGCAGAGCTATCAGAACAAACAAAAGAATGGCCAATATTTATTTGCCTGGTTCTTAAGTTATGAACTCTTTGTCTATAGGCACCACAGCTGTAATAGGCCATCAAAACAAACATGCAACCAATAATAATTCCAGTGTTGTTTCCAAGTTGAAAATGTAAATCTCACGCCTGAGAGTCTTGTTATCGATAAAAGATAGAGAGAAAAATACCTAAACAATCAAGGACCCCGAAAAGATCACCAGTGACTGGCTGGTCACCACGCACCCTTTGTTTTTTTTTTCTTTTGCTTGGGCTCAATCAAGTTGCACGTGAAGTATCTTTTCTGCAAACTTGGCGGCTGAGGTACTTTGGCGGCCCTCGAAACTTAGGCTTCCCCTCCCCCACTTTGATTTTGCTCCCACCTCATCCATCCCTCTCTTCTTTCTTTCCCATCTCCCACCACTTGGGATCTTGGAAATCTCGTGCCTTATATCCAAGCCACGGCGAACAGAGCCTACGAATACCCTGCGGCTCGTGACTTCATTATAGCCCTTCTTTATCTTACCTATTTTGCGGTTGCCACCTTTGCTTTCCTGGCAGCCCCCGACTGAAACTCAACTT